ACTTAGCTGTATTTATAGTTGCCTTTCTCACAATATGACTCCAGGCACATTACAGAAAGAAAAGTAATCATCCTGCAGTATAGGAGTTCTCATGATGTCATAGGCCCAGGAGTACACGGTAGCATGTCAATATGAACAGGCATGCAGAATAAGGTGTACAAGGCAGCAGAACGAGGACTCTGAATGAGAAGAGCAGTGCAACATGTCTAGCTATGCAGAATTTAAAAGGTGAGGTGAATTGTGTAGTCTGGCACAGTGCACAGATTGTGGAATTGCCAATCAAAATACAAACCACAATCCATCGAATAACTTTCTATTAGGACCAAAGTTACACAAAACTAGGCAAGAGTCTGAGTGCTCCACAACATTTCCAGAACAGGATATGTCATCTACCAGTACACATTGCTAAAATGTATATTCTATTTAATGTAACTGGGGGAAATTACTTACTGGGGAGTTGGAGAGAAGAGCAAGAGTCCAGGAGCACCTTAAAGTCTAACAAAATATGTGGGCAGCAGTGTTCCCTCTAAGTTGAGTTAGTGTGAGCTAGTTCACAGTTTTTTTAGCCTCTAGCTCACACATTTTTGTCTTTGCTCAGGGAGGATGGCTCCAGAGCAAACTTAATTTATGCAGTAGCCAAACCACTCACTCTCAACTTTAATGCCAGTAGCTCATAAAGTAGAATTTTTGTTCACAAGACTCCACAGCTTAGTGAGAGCATTGGTGGGCAGGGTATGAGATTTTGTGAATCACTGTGCACTTCTTCAGATACGGCTAGAGTGGGAGTCCATCTGTCCTATTTATTGGAAAGTGGTGAGATTTCAGATGACAATAGCAGGTGAATGGCTATAGCAGGCATGATTGGATTAGGTGTGATAGGCAGAGGGGTAATAGGAGTAGAGAAATCAGCATTGGTAAGGAGACTGGAAACCTGGGTCTTGATTCAATCCAGGTGGGTGCATTGTCTTGAGCGTCACTATCAGTTGCAATTCAGCAGTCTCTTTGGGGAGTTGAAACGTAAGTGTATGTGTGCAGTTCATGGTATGATGCCGGAACCTGATTATGGCTTTTGGGTGGTGGTTTGGACTCTGCCCCACAGCTGAAACTTTTCTTCTGAGGAAAACAAGTTCCATAACCGCTGAATGTTTTCTGATTCTCTGAGACTAAAAAGAAACCTAGTTAAGGTAGTAGTAGGGAGTTGAGCGGCTCAGGCAGCGTTACACTCCAATCGGGGGAAAGGAGGTAGGAAATGTTGACTTTTATTCATTAAAACCACACCAGACGTGAACTGAAGCACCTCCCAGGCCCAAATCACGTCAGCACTGAAGTCGGCTAGCTGCCGTCTCCATTTTTCCAGATGGCCACATGGTTTAGTCTTAAAGAAGCAGTGGCATATTAAAAAAAAATTATCAAACATAAAATTTATATCAGCTCTTACTTCCTGCCACAGTAGCAGAGCTTCCTTTTTACCAGAGGATTATCTGTTCAGTGAATTTAGGGGTAATTGATTCCATCCAGAGGTTCCCTTCTCAAATGACAGGTGCTGGAATTGAGGCCTGTCTCAGACTGTACAGTTTTAGTCTGATGAAGAGGAGTGTGCGTGTACTGTATGAATTGGTTCCTGGCTTTTCCTTCTACCAGAACTGTTATCAAGATTTTTAAACACTCGTGTGTGTTCTAAACTATAAAACATTTGGGAGTGCCGGGCACAAGGAAAGCTGCTGTTCCATTCTGTGCTTCACAAACAACATAAAACAAAAACTTCTCTGTTTTATATCTCCTAGTGAGAAAGGATGATGGGAGACATCCACAGGGGGTGCGTGCGCACTTGGGGGGGAGGAATATTTTAGAATTCAGGCAGATCGTGAGAAGGGAGGGCAGGAAAGGGATGAGCCAGCGCTCAGCTCTCCTGGCCCTTTCGTACATGCCCAAAGTAATGCCAATTGCCACTTTTGGGGTCAGGAAGGAGGGTTTTTTGGGTTTGGATCATGGAGCAGGGTGTCACTGGGGGAGTGTGTGTGTGGGGAAGGGAGTTGTGAATTTCCTGCATTGTGCAGGGGGGTTGGACTGAATGACCCTTGAGGTCCCTTCCAGATCTATGTTTCTATTCCCACCCCCATCCAAACATTATTTCCCCTGTTGAGAAAAATCAAGCCCAGTCTCTCATAGGATAGATGAGGATAATAAACACTGTCCTAATCAATGTTCCCTCTAAACTGTGGGGTCTTATGAGCCAAAAGTCTACTTTGTGAGCTCCTGGCGTTAAAGTTGTGAGCAAGCAATATGGCTACTGCATCAGTTTGCTCTGGAGCCATCTCTTCCTGAGCTAAGACAAAAAATGTGTGAGCCGGAGGCTGAAAAACTGTGAGCTAGCTCACACTAACTCAGCTTAGAGGGAACACTGGTCCTAATAAGGAAGCCTTGGAAAGAACAGAAGAGATTGGATTTATACTCCGCCTTTCACTACCAAAGGTGTCTCAGAGCGGCTTACAAACTCCTTTCCCGTTCCCCTCCCCACAACAGACACCCTGGGAGGTAGGCGGGGCTGAGAGAGCTCTGACAGAAACTGCTCTTTTTCAAGGACAGCTCCCACCGAACTCTGGCTTGCCCAAGGTCATCCAGCACATGCATGTGGAGGAGTGGGGAATCAAACCCAGTTCTTGCAGATTAGAGTCCGCACTCCTAACTATTACACCAGATTGGCTCCCCGTGGGGGTCACCATAAATCAGCTGTGACTTGAGGCCCCAAATAAGGACGCTGTTAAATAACAATAGCTACCCTTCCAAAGTTTAATGGTGTTGAAATGTGGAAATAATTAGATGGTATCCTCCTCTTTGTCTCAAATCACTTAATACCGCATACTACTCACTCCAGGAATAAGTCCTGATATGAAGACCAGAAGCCTTGGTTCCAGGCTTCCTCAGAAAAGAAGTATTATTGCATGAAGTATAACCTATCAGCTGCCAGAGGATGTAGCAATGGCCACAGGCACAGATAGCTTTAAAAGGGGATTAGACTAATGGAGGACAGGTCTATCAGTGGCTAAAGGGATCCTCCACGTTCAGAGGCAGTCAACCTCTGAATCCCAGAGCCAGGGGGCAACATTGGGGGAAGGCCTCCGCCTCTGTGTCCTGTTGTTGGACCTCTGTGGAACTGGTTGGCCACTGCGTGAGCCAGGATACTGGACTAGATGGGCAGCTGCTGGTGTAATCCAGGTGAGCGCTTCTGATATTCTTATGGTAGGGATTGTGGCCCATCTAGAGGGGCAAGCATGTTAACCTGTTGGAGAAAGTGTAACTTGGACTAGTCTTTCTGTAGCAAAAGAAGAGCATTGCGGTATCCTGAAATCTACCATCTTTCTTCTATCGATGCCACAATTAATCTGATAGCCGATAAAGTACCATAAGACTTTGCTGTGTCTGTAAGGAGTAGTCGAATTGTAAACGTTTCCCGAAAGCTCGATCCAGGGGCTACTAAATCGTCTTCCGTGCTCAAATTGAACGCTGCTGTTTCCTGACCGGCCTGCGTGTGTCGCCGACTGTGATGGACATTCACGGACATGAATGCCTGCTTCAAATACGTTGATTGGACAATTTCTCTCTCTCGATGCTGATTGGTCGCAGCTGCTCGTAGGCGGGACATTCACCAGACTACAGAGAAATGCAGAGGTTAGAAAAGGCGGGAAAGAGCTGTTTTGCCAGTTTTCCTTCTGGTCCGCCTTAGTCCTATAAAAACTCATCTGGTCTTCTCTTTCGCTACCATTGTTTGTTAAAACGTTGGGAAGATTACATCGGGAAAATGTCTGGCCGTGGGAAAGGAGGGAAAGGTCTTGGAAAGGGGGGCGCCAAGAGGCACCGCAAGGTTCTCCGTGACAACATCCAGGGCATCACCAAGCCTGCCATCCGCCGCCTGGCTCGCCGCGGGGGAGTCAAGCGTATCTCGGGCTTGATCTACGAGGAGACCCGCGGGGTGCTGAAGGTCTTCCTGGAGAACGTGATCCGCGACGCCGTGACTTACACCGAGCACGCCAAGAGGAAGACGGTGACCGCCATGGACGTGGTCTACGCCCTCAAGCGCCAGGGCCGCACTCTCTACGGCTTCGGGGGCTAAGATTACCTACCCTCGACGGAACACACACCCAAAAGGTCCTTTTAAGGGCCACCCACGTATCCACGGAAGAGCTGTCATTCCTATAGTTGCTAATAGCTTCCAAAAGTATCTAGCGGAAGGAGCTTTGATCGAATCTTATTTCCCCCAAATTTTCTTGGTTTCGGTCTGTAATCCAGTTTTACTGCAGACCGATACGGCTACTCTTTCAAACTCGTAGTTGCAATACTGCTCATTCCTGGGAATAAGGTAGTTTTTTGCTTTGCTGTTTTTAGAAATTGGTAGTTTCTTTATCTCTTTAGGTAACGTGGTTTACTAAATGGCGAACTAAACGCTTAAAAGCGGTCTTTTGCCTCCAGTGTCGTAACCAATCCATTCTATTTATGCTAAATTCTGTGGCGTCTTGTGTTCTGCCCGATGGTGTATGCAACAACATGGAATGAGAGCTGACGAAACGGGCGGGGATGTAGCTCAGTGGTAGAGCGCATGCTTTGCATGTATGAGGCCCCGGGTTCGATCCCCGGCATCTCCATTCGTTTTTTTCTCTCTCCCTTTTTCTCTGCAAAAGAGTAGAACTATGTGTCTGGTATCGATATTTTCCCCCTAAGTATTTTCCAGCCGCCAGCCTTCCGTGAAATACCGATAGAGTTTCTCCAAAAATCTCATGATTTGGGAACAGGGACACGCCGAGCTAGTCTTTCCTTTACGGTCCTTTAGCAGAACATGTGATCGATCCTTTGATGAAACTGAGGCTAAAATATCCCTGCAAGTTTACTCGAGAGGGTAAACAGCTGTTGAGCACAGCCAAGACTTGTCTGCAAAATAACCGTGCATAGACAGCACTGAACTAGCAATCTGTTTCTCAGTGCGGGAAATAGGATGGGGGTGATCATGAAACAAAACATTTCCTCCCAGGGAATCTCGATCGGTCTGTCGGTGGCCGGCCAGATGGGGCAAAAATAAGAGGGGGTGTGTCTCTTTTTCACCCACACCCGCCTTGAAAAACGGGGGGGGGGGAAAAGAGGGGGGGGGGGGGGGCTTTAGTTTACTCCTGAAAAAGAATTCTATACCCAGAGATACAGACAAATACGGGAGACAGAAAAGCGAGCGACCCACTCGGAAAATAGCCCTCTCCCATGTTTGGTATCCAGTGCTCCCTCTAAGCTGTGGAGTCGTGTGAGCAAAAATTCTGCTTTGTACGGGCATTAAAGTTGGGAGCGAGCCATTTGGCTACTGCATAAATTAGTTCGCCCTGGAGCCCTCCTTCCTGAGCTAAAGCAAAGGGGAGGGAAGCGTCGAGGTTCGCATTATTATTCCCTTGTGTCCCGGCGCAGAAATCCACCCATCCAATCTACCTACCATCTCTCTCTATATACATCATCTAACTTCTATCATCACTCTCTCATATATCCATGTTCTATCCTCTCTCATTCGCTCTCCATCTATTATCTATCACCTATCATCTCTCTTATCCTATCATCTATAATCTATCAAGTGGTTAAAACGCTGAACTGCAGGCTGTGTAAGGTCGGTAGTTCAGCAGTTCGAGACCCGCGTGTGCCGCATGACGGAGTGAGCTCCCATCTCTAGTTCCAGCTCCTGCCCACCTAGCAGTTCGAAAGCAAGAAATTGCAAGTAGATAAATAGGTACCACTTTGGTGGGAAGGGAACAGCGTTCCGTGCGCCTTGGTGTTTAGTCATGCCACATGACCACGGAAACGTCTTCGGACAGCGCTGGCTCTTCGGCTTGGAAACGGAGATGAGCACCGCAACCCTAGAGTTGGACTCGACAGGCTTTCGAGCAAGGGAACCTTTACCTTTATCCATCTATCATCTACCTTTCATCTATCTGTCATCTCTCTACCATTTCTCTATCTATCTTCTATCCGCGCCGCTCTCGCTCTCTCTCGCTCGCGTTATCTATCTCGCTATAATTTCTCTCCCTGTCCCTCAATCTTCTATCATTTCATCTATCGTGGGTCCTTCACCTATCGCGGCTGCAGCCGGCACCAACCAGGGGTCGCTGTGCTCCCGCCCCCTCTCATTTTAGCCCACCCGGTCAAGCCAGGATCGCCTCCTTGGCCAGTTCCCCGGGGGTCGTGTGTTTTGAAACTGGGTAGAGGAGAGGGTCTCCCAGTTGGGTCCGCTCTCCGGTCGTCCTCTCCGCAGAGCCTCGTTGGAAGAAGGTCGGGGGGTGCTCCTTGCCGCGGCGATGGTCCTGGTTTGCGTGTGGGTCCGAGGGGGCCGACGCAGACGTGCCCTGGCCATCGCCAGGAGGGTGAGGCGGGCCTGGCTGCGGGAGAGCAGGGCCCGGCGGGCCCGTGTGGCGCGGAGGAGGCGCCGGGGCGCTCTTGCTGGCCCCCTCGCCGCCCCTCCGTGTGGAGTCGCCCCCTGCGCGGCGCCAGGGCCGGTGGGAGTGGGCCCGGCACTTCCGAGGGACCCAGGCGACTTTTGCGCAGCTAGTGGAAGTGTTGCAAGGACGCCTGCTGCGGCCCATCGCCCTCTTCCACCTCCTCCTCGCCAGTGGCAAGCCCCTCGGAGACCGCGTGGAGCACGTTGGCGTGGAACCGTCCGACGCGGCCGTGGAGGTCTGTTCGGCGGTGGCGAGGGAATGGCTTCGCAAGACTCTTTGCCTGGGTCCCAATGTAGCGGAGGTGCTTTTTTTCTGTGTTACGTTTAATCTCCATTTACTACTCTTAAAAATTAAGAATATAATTGAATATGTAATGTAATTTGGAATGGTAGATTTAAATGGAATTCTCTATTCTGGGGACAGGAAAAATACTCTTACACAGCCTGGAGGCTTTAAAGTTTGCCTCCATGCCAGGAGATGGATAGGACCCAATTCTCACAATTTTGGGTACATCAGTCTCCAGTTCTGGCATATTTATTACCTATGTTGTGTCGTCCCCCCCCCAAGTTGAACCCAAAGAGGTGATAACCTGCCCCCCCCCCCCCCCAAGTTGAACCCAAACAGGTGATAACCAGAAACCAAGCTTGTCATTCTTTTGATCTGTTAAAAAAAGCTTCCCTATTTTGCATGCTAATTTAACAAGGAAGAAGAAGAAGGAGGAGGAGGAGGAGGGATTGGATTTCTACCCCGCCCTTCACTACCCAAAGGAGTCTCAGAGCAGCTTACAAACTCCTCTCCCTTCCCCTCCCCCAACAGGCACCCTGTGAAGTAGGTGGGGCTGAGAGAGCTCTGACAGAAACTGCTCTTTTTCAAGGACAGCTCTGAGAGAACTTGACTGGCCCAAGGTCATCCAGCAGCTGTGAGTGGAGGAGTGGGGAATCAAACCCCGTTCTCCCAGATTAAAGTCCGCGCACTTAACCACGACACCAAACTGGCTATATGACCTGTAATTCCATTTCATTGTCCGACGCAGTGTGCGTGCACACAAAAGCTCACATCTTGAATAAAACTTTGTTGGTCTTAAAGGTGCCCCTGGACTCTGGCTTTGCTCTTTAACATTCTTCAACGCTTCCTTTTCATTCAGATAATGAACGGCTTCAGCCGGCTGGGGTTCCCACACTGCGTTGGCGCCATAGACGAGGCATCGTTCCCAATCCGTTTTTCCGAAGTCACGCACGAAAGCGGTACTTCGCCCACGATAGACTTGTCCATCCTGCTGCAGGGCACCGTGGACCACAAGGGGAGATTCATAGATGCGGAGCTTTGGGCTGTGGAGTGGCCGAAGTCTCGCTGGAGGTGCCTCGCAGCACCTTTCCAGCATGCAGCAGAGATCGTCTCAGCGTGCGTTGTCCTCCACAATCTTTGCAAGGAGAATGGGCACGGCCCCCCACTAGCCCAGCGCACGGTGCCAAAAATACTAATTGGGGTCGGCCAGGGAGATTTCGCAGGTGGAAACCCTCTTCTAGAGGGAGAGGCGGTGCGCGACGCGGTGGCCAGTCAGATAATAATAATAATAATATACATTATTGTCATTGTACATAGTACAACAAAATGTTTGCTAACCAGTGCCATTTTCTGGGGGTGGGTCACTAGTTGTTTACTCTGTCCCCTTTTGTTTATTGACAGGGCCGTGTTCTGGATGAGGCAGAAAGCTGCCATTGGGGGTGATGTGGGTGGGCTGGCGACCGATGCCTTCCACTTTTTTGCAAGAATTCTTTAGTTGCTTTCTGAAGTCTGGCTACTCATAGTGGCTGCTTTGTGGTGGTTTAGATGTTCGCTATGTTTTGTCTTCCTTTTCAAATCCCGAATAAACCTTTAAAAAGTTTCATCGACTCATTTCACTGTCGAACTGGTTCCTGTCGCTGCCCCGCTGGTGCTTGGGTGCTTATAGCAGGAACTCTTTAACATGAGCTATGTGAAATACGGCATTTTAAGCGTTGGCATTGTATATAAGCTAATGTGATGATCTCCTCTCTTGGGTTTTTAGTCAGTCGTGGTTATCTTTTCCTTCTCTAAATGTAGTACCCCTCCCTTATTTTCATTATTGTTTGTAGTCTATATAAAGGTAAAGGTAAAGGTTCCCTTGCTCGAAAGCCAGTCGAATCCGACTCTAGGGTTGCGGTGCTCATCTCCGTTTCCAAGCTGAAGAGCCAGCGCTGTCCGAAGACGTTTCCGTGGTCATGTGGCCGGCATGACTAAACACCAAGACGCACGGAACGCTGTGACCTTCCAACCGAAGTGGTACCTATTTATCTACTTGCAATTTCTTGATTTCGAACTGCTAGGTTGGCAGGAGCTGGGGCCAGAGACGGGAGCTCACTCCATCATACGGCACCCGGGTCTCGAACTGCTGAACTACCGACCTTCTATAGCCTGCAGTTCAGCGTCTTAACCACTTGAGCCACCGCAGCTCCATGTAGTCTATATAGAAAATGCAATAAAAAAATCCCCTTGGGGGGCCAAAAAAAGCAACATGAAGCCTGAAATCCTGCATTGGGGAGGGGAGGGGGCATTTCAAACAGCCCCAAGACTCTCTGCTCCACGGCCCATATTTGTCTTTCACCACAGACCAGGTCATTTCTTTCAGGGGAGCCTGGAAAATTTCGACAGGT